TTTATACAGCACATCCCATATTTCATACTGTGATACTACTGCTTTTATTAAATGAAGACACTAGGATGGAGATTAAGTGTTTTTTTTAAAGCTAATAATACAAATACACACATTTCCTCCAAAATTTAGAAATACCCATTTTTAGAACCAGGCTTAATCCTCTAGTCATTTTGGGGTGTTAGTGAACAGTAAGGCATTTAACTAAATTCTCATTGGAAAAAGTTGAGACACTCACATATCATTAGGTACCTATTTCTGCTATTTAAAGCAAATCGATCACTACTGGATTCTTAGCCATACCAGGAGGGAAATTAAGAAGTGTTTGTCTGTAAGACCAGAATATATCTAGTAAATTGAATAGCTGAATTACATAGTTGAGTTGTTGGGTTGAATTCTATCTCTGTAACATTTGAATAAAAAGTAAATATGTTGTTTCATGGTGAAGTTACTCATTACTTACTGATATAATTGATCATCAACATATCTCATCATATGTAGTCCAAGACACTGTGATAACAACAGACCAGTTTTTTGCCTTCCCCCAAAGAAAATCCCACTTTAAGTCCCTGGATTTCTCCTGACTGCTTTTGCGTTTGTCTCCCCATCACCTATCCCACTTCATTCTCATTATAAAACCGTTTTGCAGTTTGGAGGGCTTGGCCCCACCGCACCTGGCTCAGGGGTGAGTTCTGATTGGGCAAAGCTGATCAGGATAATCTCCTCCGCCACCGGATTTGTTCAGGTAACCCACGCCTGAGCCAATCAACACTCCCCCTACTTGGGACTGGACAGGGTCCTCTTACGAATGTCAAGCGCCAGACTCGTGCGGTCTCGGGTCCTCCTTCCGGATCTGAAGGAGGAAGCATGAGGCCCCTGTTACCGCTGGCAGCCATCTCATGTCCTTGAGGGAAGCCGGCCTTTGGAAGATGCTCCAAACCTGGAGGTGCCCTGAGTGAGTCACTGAGAAGCTCACATGCGGTTTGGAGGGGCCACTCTTGAAGACGTATCTCTGTACCTTCTCTTACGTAAGTCAATAAATCCCTTTAATTTAAGCCAGTTTCAGTTGAGTTTACTGTTACTTGTGAAAAAAATTTTTTAAATGATATGTTTATTCTTGGGCCTCATACAAGAATCCAAGAAAGTAGTAAACTAAGGTGTAGTCAGATTGGAATTATTTAATGCATTGATTTAGCATCTCATCACTTAGTTTACAGTTCTCTTGGTACCTTTTAGAGACTTTGGGGTTTTATGTTCTAATTGATTAATTCAGCAACTATTTATTGTTAATGTTAAGCATCCACTATTTCACTCTCTGTACGACACTGTGCATACAACAGTGATAAACATAATTTCAGTACTGAGAAAGCTTAAAGGGCTCGCTGACAGCAGGGATATCAATGAGTCATGCAAAAGTTAAAACGAGAAATCAGAAAGAAGGCAAAGGAGGGACATCTATTCAGAATGGTGGGGTGTTGGATAGGAGAGAAGGGGAGGAAAGTACATGTGTCATTAAAACTCCTAAGGAGTTACTAATTTCCGTTTTTGTGCCATGGATCTCTTTGGCAGTTACAGTGAAGCCTAGGGACCCATTTTTAGAACAGTATTTTTAAGTGTGTAAAATACTTTGGATTACAAAGAAAATTTCGTGTATTGAACTAGCTATCAAAATATTTTTTAAAACAAATTTGGGTTATAGTAATATATGTGCTTCTTTATTAACTCATTGAAGAATAAGATTTAGTGATGGACATAATTATTAACATAATTTTGAGATAGTGACGAATGTAAATGGTATTTTGAGTTATCTGCTGCAACTGTAATATGATATGAAAATATCAGTGATTTCTTTTGGTTGCAGAGGCACAAGTACCTCTAATACTATTGTGGTTTGTGGCCTACATTCATAATAGAAGGATGTGCTAAATTTTATTTAGAGGTTTCATTCAATGTAATTTTCTGGACCCTTGAATTTGATGCCAAGTTAAAAAAAAAAAAAACCCTTGTGGGAAGAAGAGAGAAAATTTGAACTAATTCTTGACAGACTGAAGGATGTATCTAGGTAAATGAAATAGAAATTAATTTAGGACATATGAAATAGCATTAATGAAGGCATGGAGGTATGAGAGAGAGTACAGGACTGTCAGCGGATTGCTTTGGTTAGAGTGAAGAATGAATTTGGCATTGTGGTAGGAGGTAAGCTGGAAAGATTGGCAAAATCTCGTATCTTTGGGATATTCATTGGTTGGTTGTACATTATAGTGCTAAATGTGATTCTGTCTTAATGTGTTTGAAATCCTTTGCAAACTCTCTGTTGCCTAGCATATAGTCCAAGTTTTATAAAACTGCTCCTTATAATCAAGTCCTAGCTTTCCTTTCCAGCCTCATTTACCACCATTTTTCTTGCCACATACTATGTTTCAGTGATTCTCAAATATCATGCTATATTTATACATACCAGTCTCTTCATCTCTGTTCATCATTTGGATAATCACTTCCTGTACCTCAGTTGCCTCATCTGTAAAATGGGGATAGTAGGTACCTTACCAATTTGCTGTGGGGATTAAATCAACTAGTTATTGAAACTTGCTTGGAACAATGCTTACCACATGGTAAGCTCTCAATAAATGATAGCTATTATTATTATTATCATAATTATTATTACCTATTATATCTTTTCTACCTTGCCCAGTTGGCCAACTCCTAAACATTCTTAACTATATTCAGTATCTTATAGTAACCTATAATGAAAAAGAATATGAAGAAATGTTTGTATATATAAGTATGACTGAAACACTATGTTATACCCTTTCTTGTGTACAACTGATGCAACATTGTAAACTGACTATACTTCAATTTAACAAAATGAAAGAAAACAAAACAAAAAACCAGTATGGACATTACTTCCTCCAGAAAGATTTTCTGATCACCAAACTTTCATTTCCTCCAGATAGATTAATAACTTCCTCTTTTACATTATATCAAGATCTTGTATAGCTTCAATTCTTGTATTTTTCAGAATGTATTGTAATCTTACATTTCTGTATTATTTTTCCCCATTATATTATGAAACTCTTAAAAGTAAGGTCTGAATATTATCTTTGATGTCTATAGGTTTTTATCGTATTGAGGGGACATTTAGGAATTTCCACATTTGTCCATGGTACTTTTAAATTCTGGATCCAGTGCTCACACAGATATAATGGTAGGCGATTTGGTATAAGTTTTTGGTATTAATAAGATTCTGGTCACTATTCCTATATACATCCTTTATATATTGGTGTTTTCAAGATTTTGTTCTGGCCTGGAACTTAATTTCTCACTCTATACAATCTTAATTGGGGAACTCAATGACTTCTGTGGCATCAATTACTGTGTAATGAATGATATCTACTCGTTCTTAACTCAGATTTCTACCTCCTAAGGTTCATTTCCAAATATTCAAAATATATACCATCTAACTCCTTATGGGTGAGCAACAATAACCTTCAATTCAATATGCCAAATTTGAACTCATTTTTAAAAAAATTCTTTAGCCTTCTCTGGCCTCAATCTTACTAACACGGTTTATGCTCTCATAATCTACCTGAATTACTGCCTACTTCTTTTAATTAATTTATTATTTTTTCTAATTAATAAAAAGTAATGCTTTCTCTTTGTAAAAGGAAATTCAAGCAATGCAGGGAATATGTGATCTTATCTTCCAGAGATAACCACTGTTTCCCGTGTTATGTATAGTCTACAAGACTGTTACATGCATATATTAACACATTATTATTTGACTTAAGCAGTAGTCTCTCAGTTTCCTTATCTCTAGTGTATCCCCCTTGTAATCTATGCATGATACACACTCTTCTAAAGTATAAGTTAGTAAGTGACTTTTCTAAAAGGCAGATTGCATCATCCTGTTCCCCTGCTAACTTTTCCTGAAAAGCTATCCATTTCTATAGGATAATGTCTAAACTTTTGGGGTGATGTACAAAATCCTGCACGATCTGGCCCCATCCTATTTCTCTAGCCCTGGAGTTAAACTTGACTGTGCTACATTCCACTTCGGAGGTATTGGGCCAGTTTTCTCAGCTGTCAAGTGAGGATTGAATATAATACTTATCACAAGGAAATAGTATATAAAGTGCCAAGCCTACCGATGGTTTAGGGTTAACAATAAATATTGGCTCTTGTGGAGGAACAAAATGTTTTTGGATATGTGTGTTTAGTGTTTCTTGCTTTCTGAGTAGGAGGATCCTTTGACGTGCAGATTGCTTAATGCTTGAACATAATTGGAACAATCCCCGCCCCCCACACAAGAAAGACAGAATAGGAAGAAGGGAAGAATGACATTAATTTGAATAGATTTGAAAGAAGATGGGGGGTGAAACCTGAGTGGCAAGGAAGGGTGAAGAGAGGACAGTTCCCACAGTTATTTTTTTGGACGGATGTATGTGTGGGTCTGGGTGATGGAGGTGATAGTAAAGTTGGTTTAAGAAAGAAGAGATTTGAGAGAAGCAGTTATAAGAGTAAATGGATAGATAAGATATAAGACACTTAGGACGTTTTGCTAACTCCTCTCCCCTCTAGTTCCGCACAGCTTTGTGGACGTCAGATTTACGTTCTTTAGAATTTGACCCTGGGTTGAGGTTGGCCACAAGCTAATCCAGTGATACTCCAGTTACGCGATTATTGTTTGCCATCCTTCAAGTCCAGTCTCCATGCTTTTAACTGCCTGCCCGAAATTCATTTATCCAACAAGTATTTGAGTGACCTCCTGTCTCTCCGTCTGCTGAATAGCCTGTTTTCCAAGGTCAGTCCCTAATCTGTTTTGTGGTGACGTTTCTGACACTCCAACACTAAAATTTGCTTATCCCTTTTTGTGTGTGCAACCCAGCGCACCTCATTCACTTCATTCAGACACGCAGTTTTATTTTGTACCCAATTTCATGAGAGTCTTTCCTCCTCTAATGAGCACTTTGGAGCCAGGAGTGGCGTTTTCGAAATCTACTAGCTCAGTGTATGGCACGAAGTAGATGCTTAGCAAATGTTTATTGAATGACTGTCCTGTGCATTTCAGTGACATCACATCCTGCATGCCTTGGGCGGCAGCCTGCACTCCTCAGCGGGAGGCCCAGAAGTCGGAGGGTTTAAGTCATTGTTTATATCATGCATCGAGTAGCTCAAGCTCAGACTATGGTTTCAGACGGTCCACAAGGAACGCGGCCATCAGGAGTGCCGGATCTTAGCTTCCCAGTTCAGAGATTCCACCCCGGGGCACACACGCCGCTTGAGAGGCGCCGGCGCTCGGCTACTCTCCGGGAACAGAACGTGCGAGGGAGGGAGCGGGCAGCTCACTTATCGCGGTGTTTCCTCCCTCCTCCCTCCCGGGGGAGCTCTCGCGAGAGAAGCCAGGGGAAGATGGCCGTGCCCTGTTTTTCCGTGTGAGGCGGTGGCGGCGGCTGCGGTGGTGGGGACCGGGATCCTGGTATCGTGGGCACCTGAGCTCTAGCTCCCCCCAGCGAGCGCGCGTCCCTTGGTGCCTAGGCGAGAGCCGGCTCTTCTTCCTCCGGGAGATGCGTTTGTCCCGGGCTCGGGGGCGCTCTGGGAGTTCATGCTGCGCTGGAGGCTCCTGGCCACCGCTCTAATCGCCTTGTGCCGCCGCAGCGCCAGCTTCGTCGCCCGCGGTGAGCCTCCTGGGTCCCCTCTCTGCCCCTGGTGGCAATGACCGGGGAGAAGATCCGCTCACTGCGGAGGGACCACAAGCCCAGCAAAGAAGAAGGGGACCTGCTGGAGCCCGGGGATGAGGAAGCGACGGCTGCCCTCGGCGGCACCTTTACCGGAGGCAGGATTGGCACGGGCGGCAGCGGCAAGGGCGGCAGAGCCTGTCATAAGATCTTCAGTAACCATCACCACCGGCTACAGCTAAAGGCAGCTCCGGCCTCCTCCAGTTCCCCCGGCGCCCCAGCCCTGCCGCTGCACAACTCCTCCGTGACTACCGCCTCCCAGTCCCCGGCTCTTCTAGCAGGCACCAACCCCGTTGCTGTCGTCACAGATGGAGGCAATTGCCCCGCACACTACCCGGTGCACGAGTGCGTCTTCAAGGGGGATGTGAGGAGACTGTCTTCTCTCATCCGCACGCACAATATCGGGCAGAAAGATAATCACGGTGAGGAGTGCTTGCCCCTCTCCACCTCTCCTAGGTTGTGCTTCCCCAGGGCTCTGGAATCGTAGGCTTCTCTCACACAGATCCTTCTTTCCTCTCCTTTGCCTGTTACCCGAGCCAAATGCTCGTAAATCATGACCGATTCAGTACAGCATGCCAGTGGTCTGGGGATTGGTTCTTGTGGGTGCAAAGGAATGTTTCTTCCTTGCCCACTTCAAACTGTGAGAAGCTGTTCTGTTTATCTTTGAGTCAGGGCTTCAGTGTGGTGATTCTTGACTATAAGAAATTTTACGTTGCCACTCGTCTAACCTGGCTTTCTTCCTTTGTTTATAGAACTATGTCTTTTCTTTTTCTACCCGCCCCTCCCCCCCATCTGGAATTTTGAACGTCCAAATTGCTCACCTCCCTTCATTACCCAGGTAATCCCAATTAGGCTGCCAACTGGTTGTGATTTCTACATGCCATCATGTTGTCTATTTTTTATTTTCTGCTTTTAGGAAACTTTGGTACAAAGTGTCTACACTTTGCAAATGCTTTGGTTGCTGAAAGACAAATTTGTTGGCATTTGATACCTAGAGCAAGTAAAGTGACTGAGAAGCTACGGTTTTGTTGGAGTTGAGTTTTTCCACTTGTTTTACATAGATAATTGCTAATAGTAATGTTTCATCTTGATGACGTGTGACTAAAAATAGTATGATTTCTCATAGTAACTTCATCATATCCTATATGACAAAATATAATGTCATTTGTTATTCAAGGACTGTATTTCTACTTTTTGCCTTAATTTATTAGCTGATTTTTTTCTGTTTCTTCTAGAAACATAATGTGATTGAGTTGACATTTAAGCAACAGTGAATTTATTAATGAAAACTAATATAAACACTGACATTTTCGACATTTAATAGGTAGGCCATTTTAAACCGGGTTGTTGGCAAATACTGTTGATAGCTCTGCTTTTAACTGAACATGACTACTGAATACATTCAGTTAGGACACACTCGACTCTGCAGAAAATAACAACACATTAATGAAATACTTACCTGTGGAGTAAGCTCTCTTAATTACATTGAACTCTAGGCTTCTTATCTAAAATTAGGGCCAAAGTTGAGATTAAAAAAATGAGTAAGATTTCTGTTGGTTGTGTAATTCTCTAACGACTGCATTTGTATTATGAATTTACAGTATTGTAGTAATATTACTACCTGTCATTTATCAAAACTCAAATCCCCAAAAATGTTCCTGAAAGCTGCACCCAGTTTTTCATTCCTACATTTAATTTATCTAATTATTTTACTATTGTTGCAACGAGCATAATATTGTTTGTTGATGGTAATTATATTATAACCCTTTGGGAAACAGCTTGTAGTGGAAGATGTGTTGTAGCTTTGTGTTATTTAGTTATTAGGTAATTTTTCACATTTTGTCATCGTAGAATGGTTTATTTTATGGCCATTGCCTTTAAAATAGAGTTCAATTACCTTGAAATATACCTGAAAACAGATAAAACCTTCTTTTGAGAGGTGATTTCCTTTGAAAGGAGAGAGATGACTATGACTGACAAAGTATGATGGTATAGTATGTTAGAACGGATTTTCTTGGTTGATCACATAAGGTACTGAATTGCAGGATTATTTGGATAGCATATCTGTTACCCAGAATTCAGAAGTTGGTTTGTTAAAATAAAATTGTGTTCAAAGTAATTAGAATCCTAAGTACCCTTAAACTTTTCCTTAGCCCACTGAAATTTTCCTTTTAAATTGTTTTGATATACCAAATGCTTGAATTGTGCTTAGCTGCACTTACATTATTGCTATTTTTTTAAATTGAAGTATAGTTGATTTACAATGTTGTGTTAGTTTCTGGTGTACGGTACAGTGATTTAGTTATACATATGTATTTATATATTCTTTTTCATTAGGTTATTACAGGATATTGAATATAGTTCCCTGTGCTATATAGTAGGACCATGTTGTTTATCTATTTCAATATAGTAGTTTGTATCTACTAGTCCGAGACTCCTAATTTATCCCTCTCCCACCTCTCCCCTTGGTAACCATAAGTTTGTTTTCTATGTCTGTGAGTCTGTTTTTGCTGTGTAAATAAGGTAATTTGTATCATTTTTTAGATTCCACATGTAAATGATATTCTGTGATATTTATCTTTCTCTGTCTGATTTACTTCACCTAGTATGATAATCTCTAGGTCCATCCATGTTGTTGCAAATGGCATTTCATTCTTTTTTATGGCTGAGTAGTATCCGTGTGTGTGTGTGTGTGTGTGTGTGTACATTTACCACAACTTCTTTATCCATTCATCTGTTGATGGATATTTAGGTTTGCTTCCATGCCTTGGCTATTGTAAATAGTGCTGCTGTAAACATTGGGGTGCATGTATCTTTTTCAATTAGAATTTTCATCTTTTCCAAGTATATGCCCAGGAGTGGATCATATGGTAAGTCCATTTTTAGTTTTTAGTGGACTCTCCATACTGTTTTCCATAGTGGCTGCACCAAATTACATTCCCTCCAACAGTGTAGAGGGTTCCCTTTTCTCCACACCCTCTGTTGCATTTATCATTTGTGGACTTTTTAATGATGGCCATTCTGACCAGTGTGAGTTGATACCTCACTGTAGTTTTGATTTGCATTTCTTTGATAATTAGTGATATTGAGCATCTTTTCACTTGCCTGTTGGCCATCTGAATGTCTTCTTTGGAGAAATGTGTATTTAGGTCTTCTGCCCATTTTTTGATTACATTGTTTGTTTTTTTGTTTGTTACTGAGTTGTATGAGCTGTTTATATATTCCGGAAATTAAGCTCTTGTCAGTTGCATTGTTTGCAAATATTTTCTCCCATTCTTTAGGTTGTCTTTTCATTTTATTTATGGTTTTCTTTGCTGTATAAAAGCTTATGAGTTTGATTAGGTCTCATTTGTTTATTTTTGCTTTTATTTCTATTGCCTTGGTAGACTGCCCTAGGAAAACATTGCTATGGGTTTTTTTGTCTGTATTCTCTTCTAAGAGATATATGATGTCCTGTCTTATGTTTAACTCTTTAAGCCATTTTGAGTTTATTTTTGTGTATGGTGTAAAGGAGCGATCTAACTTTGTTGATTTGCATGTGGCTGTCCAGCTTTCCCAACACCACTTGCTGAAGAGACTGTCTTTTCTCCATTGTGTATTCTTGCCTCCTTTGTCAAAGATTAATTAACCATAGGTGTCATTGTTGCTATTTTTGAAGAATATAACCAGTGGTTCACATACCTGTGGAAAGTGTAATTGTTGTTTTCCCTGCAGTATATGTTCTCATCCTGCAGTGAAGACTCCTAGGAAGAGTAGCTTCTATTTAATGTGCTACTTCTTTAATCTCCTTTTCCTTTGTAGCTGCATAAGTTCTCTGTTAGATTCCATTACTTTACTCTTGAAATTGTATTAACCTGGATACTTTATTTAGACTTTTTAAAGACATTTTTTCTTTCAAATTATAAAAGATAAATGCTTTTTAGTCACTGAACAAAAACAAGCTATATGTTATATTTGGACTGTTATAACCTGATAAATACATAGCAGAATCATACACTCATATAGGTGCATAGCAGAGCCAGACAGTTACACCACATCATATCACATAGTTTTATATTCACTAGAAGTTCCTTCCACAATATGATGATATCATCATAGATACAACTTACTAAGTTGGTCAGCACTGTACTCAGTGTTTATGTGCATTATCACATTTAATTCTCACAATAAGCCTACAAGGCAGATGGTTTTATCCTTCATATAAAGGTGAGGAAAGTGAAGCCTAGAGACACAAGGAAACTTTGCCAAAGTTGTATACTTAGTTTAAGTTCCAAAGCTGGCAAATAACTAACAGCAAGGACTCCAAAACCCATGATCAACCTCTTTGTAAATATTTGCAAGGTTCAGGACCTACTATTTTGCAAAGTAGTCAGTTCTAATAATGTGTATGTGACAATTTACAACAAAGTTCTTTAATATACATTTTCTCACTTAGTCCTTGTAGAGAGATATTGCTGCTGAACAGCTCTAAGAGATTTTCTGTAGAGCCCAAATCTGTTACTCTTATTTGTTGTTTCTTTTTTAATGTATTGGCACAGATAAATGGGCGGCCTCATTCCCACAGTAGTCCTTTATATATTTGACAAGCACTCTTATGTTCTCCTTATCTTCAAGTTAAACATTCCTAACTTTTGTATCCTTCATATAACTTGGTTTGTAAAGTGCTAAGAATGGTCCCTGAAACATTGTATATACCGTTATGTGTATTAAATAAGTAAATGAAAATCTTAGTCATCTTCTTTTAGTGAAACTCTAGTTAGTTAATTCTTCCCTTTGAGGATGATATCCAGAACTAATCTTAAGCAAAGACAAAAAAGGAGACTATATTTATTGCTGTATGCAATACACATTTAGTGATGTTTTACTAAA